ATATGAGATCCACTTGCCAAATATTCAATTGCTAAATAATTGGTAAGTCGGGAGACTATCTGTATTGAGGAAAATAAATATTACACATGGAATTAATTATGTGGCTGACATGGCAAGACATGTGGATCACTAGAAAAGTGATAGTTGGAGAAGAGTATTTGAAAAGACGTGAGTCTTAATAGGAACGAGCAAAACGTCTAAGAGACAAGGAGAAACGGTTGCTCGAGTCTCTTTAGCGATTTAAATTAATGAGCATGAATGGTTACAAACGTTATAGAATCTTCACGAAACAGTTATGATTACCAATTCTAACATTTCATTAATGCTCATAATAACTCGATCATAAAAGGGAAAAGACGTTGTACTTAGTGATGGTTATATAAGGAAAAGAAATGTCATTTGTATGGACACGTTCTGATTATTATTGGAATACAATTATTTACTTTCGCTTTCTACTGATTACTGTGCTATTTTTTTTCTTACTACAAGAATATCGATTTCATTGATTATCAGTAACTCGAGTACTCTAAAAAATAGGCTGACCGAAATTTCTATTTTTTGGTTAAACACTCCCTACTTATTAGGCGAATTCCGCCACTGCATTCATGAATACAGTAGTGCCAATACAATGAATACAGTCCAGTAGCAAAAAAATATTAGCTATAGGAAGTAAATATGTATATAGAAGCTATAGAAAATTAATAGCCATTAAACTACAGTGGTTTCTGAAAATTCCTCTTAATATAACCATGGCAACCCCCTAAATATGCCATGCCCAATTAACTTAACATTAGCAAATGGTGGATAATTAATATGCAGTGTGAGTAGGGATGTCAATGGTTCGGTTCGGTCGGTGATTTTATAAATTTCTACCATACCAATTTTTCAGTTATTCTATTATGTATAACCAACATTACACTTTTCTAACTGTCCCAATCATATCGGTTTCTCTTCGATATCGATACCAGTTCGGTTGATATTCGGTATTTTTTTTTAAAATCATGTAAATATCATTAGTAGAAGTATAATGCAATAATATATGTATTTTTATAGGACTTAGCAAAGCTCTCAAGAAATTTTTATTGTTTAAAGAGTGATGAATTAAGAAAATAAAAGATAGCAAGATTATGGATCCATCAACTATTCTACAACTGCGTAAAATACGAGATTATGGATCCATAAACTATTCTACAATAACGTAAAATGAACTAAGTAAAGACAAAGAAAGTATAAATCACATGAGTGGAAAGATATTAACCAAGTTGGGACTCGAGAATAAAGTCCATAGAAGATTAAATATTCAAAAGGATAAATCTAAATCATACGAAAGGAAACATATTCGATACATTGGAGTTTGCTACTCATAATCACTAGAATACTTTGTGTCTTGCTAGTGAATATGCTGGAAATAATTTAGTTTCAACAGGAGTAATATAATATGTTTGGGATTAGAATTTGGAGTTTTAATTATTTGTTGGCTTGTAAAAGTTTTCATAATTCCATGTCCCAAAGAAAAATTTAATGGTTTATTATTTTTAAACTTAACATATAAATATATTTTTCACATGTAACTTTATTGTGATGACCCAAAGGGTCATCTTGTGTTTAGAATTCGAATCCGGGTTCCGAGGCCTTGAAAACCTCATTTTCCTTTTTCTCAATTTGCGTGCATAGTTCGGGCACATTTTAGGAAAGCTTTTCTGTGAAATTTAAGAAAAATAATGAATTTGGCCTTTAAAATTGATTAAAGTTGACTTCTGTCAACATTTTTAGTAAACGGACCTAGATCCGTGATTTGACGGTCCCGTAGGGTCCGTAGTAAAATATGGGACTTGGGCGTATGCCTAGAATCCAATTCCGAGGTCCCTAGACCGAAAAAAAGAATGATGTCTTATCTGTAAAATTTGGTAAGAATCGGAGTTGATTTGACGTGATTCGGATGTCCGGTTGTGAAAATAGTAAATTTGAAATGTTCTTGAGGAAAATCATGAGTTTGAGGTTAAACTCGTAGTTGTTGATGTTATTTTGATGATTTTATCGTACGAGCAAGTCTGTATGGTATTTTTAGACTTGCGTGCATGTTTGTTTTGGAGCCCCGAAGGCTCGGGTCAGTTTTGGATAGGCCACAGAGTGATTTTGCACTTAGGAAATTTGTTGGTATGCTTCAGCAAAGTTGCAGGCCTCTGATCTCGCAATTGCGAGATCAGGCTTCGCATTTGCGAGCTTGACAGGTTTGGAAATTGCGAGGCTTCCGTCGCAAATGCGAAGGAATGTGGGCTGGGGCATGTTCGCAATTGCGAACTTTTCTTCTCAATTGCGAAGGAAACAGGGCAAGGAGGGACTTCGTATTTGCGACCAAAAGGTCGCATTTGCGATTGTAGCAGATATGTGAGAGGCTCGCATTTGCAATACTTTTCTCTCATTTGCGATTATAGCAGAGATGTGAGGGGTTCACATTTGCGATATTTCTCAGGTCGCAAATGCGACATCTGCAGCAATTAAGTTGGGACTTTGATGGGATTTTCACTTCATTCTTCAAAATTTCAAAACCTAAACTTCAAAGGGCGATTTTTCTAGTGCAAGTTCTTCCCCAAATCATAGGTAAATGAATCTTAACTCTTTTTCTTTAATCTATTTCATTTTTTACATGATTTCACTTCAAAATTTTGGGTTTTTTCATGGGAAATTGGGTGTTCTTGGGTAGAAATTAGGATTTTCGAATTTTGGGGATTTGGACCTCAATTACAGGTCGGATTTCAAAACCAGTTTCATATTTGGATTCGTGGGTGAATGGGTAGTCAAGTTTTGGTTCGAACTTCGAGTTTTGACCAAGCGGGCCCGGGGACGATTTTTGACTTTTTTGGAAAAAATATTGGGAAATCTATATTCATGCATTATAATTGATGTATTTAGCATTTATTGATGTTATTAAGTAAATTATGACTAGATACAAGCGGATTGGAAGTAGAACCGAGAGGTAAAGCGGTAATTGAGGCTTGATTTTGTCCATGGAATTGAGGTAAGTGTTTTGGTCTAACCTTAGCTTGAGGGAATATGTGTTGTGGTCTTATTTGCTACGTGTTAGTGTTGAGTACGACGTATAGATGTGGTGACGATTATCTATACGTTGGTGTCAAGCATGCCCGTGAGTCTTATACATAATTGTTGTGACTCTTATTATGTACTATCCATGCTTAAATTGATGATTATCACTGTTGAATAAGACTTATGATGATTTCTTGGTAATTGATCATTGTTGAGTATTGGCTCAAGTTGAGATTTCTTTTCTGAAGTAACTGTCCTAACGAGATTGGTTATAGCTGATTCCCTTGCCGGGATGTATTTGTTTCTATTGTTGATTCCCTTGCCGAGATGTATTGTTTCTATTGTTTGGGTGAGGAAGAGTGTAAAGCACGAAGGGTGATGCCGTGCACGATATTGTGAGTGTTAATGCACGAAGGGTGATGTCGTACCGATATTGTGAGTGTTAATGCACGAAGGGTGATGCCGTGCCGATATTGTGAGAGTTAATGCACGAAGGGTGATGCCGTGCCGATATTGTGAGAGTTAATGCACGAAGGGTGATGCTGTGTCGTTTCTGTTGTTTCTTATGGTGAGAACGAGAGTAAAAGCACGAAGGGTGATGCTGTGCACGTGTACTGTTTCATTATTCCTGTTGATATAAGTATGGTGTTGCGGGATCACTTCCGCATTTCATAAACATTTCATTTTAGTTATTATCTGTTCCTGTCAAATTAATAATAATGGTGGTAAAACTGTAACTGTCGGCTTGCCTAGCTTTCACGAGTAGGCGCTATCACGACTTCCGAAGGTGAAAAAATCCGGGTCGTGACAGTTATTCTGTATGGTTCGTTATTTTTTTGTTTATTTTTATAAAATTAAAAACATACCCTAATTGTCAGTACGGTTATAAATTTATATAAAAACCTACGATTTTATTAAAAGAAAATTAAAAATTGATTCGGTACGATACGGTTCAGTCGGTTTAATCGGTTTTTAAATTTTCATTGACACACCCGAGGTGTGAGTCCAACTCTCATTGTTTTCCTTAGTTTCTCTCTCATTTTTCTTCCTTTCTCTATTTTTTTTTTTTTTTTTTTTTTTGTTTTTTTTTTTTTTTTTTTTTTGCTTTAGACATTTGATATTTGAAATTAATTGGCCCGACTAATTTGATTGGTTTGGTGTCGGATAGCCGCTAATGGCGATAAAGCACTTTCTTAAAAAGAAAATTTAATCTGTAGAGCAAGAAAAAATAGCCTATGACCAAGTAACCAACTAGGAATGTTGATTCAATTTGTGCTGGCATCCATCAAACTAAATTTCTTAAATAATAATAGCATATCATTCTCTGAAATCCCTTCAATTTTATGCAAATTCAATTTTTTTTCCCTTTTCAAGAATCCTATTGTTAGAAGATGCCATTCGACGACAACTTATTTCTTTCTTTAATCATTCGTTAGTACTTTGCTATATATCTTTTGGACTGCGTGGTAGTAGGTATTTTAAACCAATAATGTAAAACTTCTTTGCATATTGATGTAACGTCCATCTATATTTACCTACTATAATCGTACTCATAGCAAATATTTTATAGTGTGGCATTTACATTTACTTTCTCATTTTCTGCTTTAACTTTCCTTTTTCTGGCTTTAGTTGGCAAGTATAATTCAAACATTTAAGTTTTCTTTACCCCTTTTCTTGTGTTCTGTTCTTTTTTTTTGGGGGGTCAAATTTTCCATTACTCCTTTTTCCCCTCAATAATGAAGAATAAGAATTTAGAGTATAGTCTAATATAAAAAGCAAAAAATAAAAAAGAGAAAGGTATAATTATTACGATAATGATGATGAGCGTGACATCAACAACTTATGCAGGAATAAATAAATGAGGGTCAAATGACGTAATTACCCCTAATTAATCCACACAAATCTGAGAAGCCTCCATGAAAATGGTCAACTCTTAAATGGATATTTGACTCCCCCCACTATATAAGCAGCAATGGCCTCCCCACTCTCTTCCACCATTCCTCTTTGTCTTTGTATTCCAACTCATTCATTCACCTAACCTCACTTTCAAGATCCTTCAATGGCTACCAAAGTCTACATTGTGTAAGCACTCTTTCTCTACATTTATCTCATATATATATATATATATGTTTGTACCTGTTTATTTTCTTGTACATGTTACGTTTTTGTAGTCTGTTTTCTGTAATTTATTTTTGAGTTTTGAGTTCTCTGTTTTGAATTTTAGAGTGGAATGAATAGTGGGTGATTTGTTTTTTGTAATTTTGATCTGTACTGTTAGATACTTTATTCTTTTGTTGCTAGATCATTTTTCTCATGGTTGTGTGCTGCTAAAGACTCTGTGTTTATGTTCCGACCTTATTATATTTATGGGAATTTTCCTTCTTTATGGTAATTATTTAAGATGTGTTTTTTCGGATTTGCTTCTTCTTTAAAAATTAATGATCCAATGATCAATTGAATGCTGATTGTGTGTGAAGGCTATCATTTGTTTCCAGTGTTTGTTTGATCTAGTGCAGGAAATTTTTGGCTTACTGGAAGATTCTAGTGAAAATGATTTAACCAATTAATTTTTGCAAGAGTTGGTTAGGTATTCCTTTGCAGTCATTTTATAAAATGAGCTTCTTGAAATTTAAAAAGCAAAACAAAACATCAACCTATCCACTTTTACCTGTGTCTGTTCTCTTGATCTAAGGTAGGAGACTTTTTGCTCACTGAAAGATTCTTATGAAAATGATATACCAACTAATTTTGCATGAGTTGGTTAGGTACTCTTTTACTCCTGTATAAGATGACATTCTTGTAATTAAAAAATATCAACTTGAAGCTGCAGAATGGAGTTGGTGATATTATCTTTAGTCAATGATTTTGTTGAGCTGTATCAACTACCAGTTCTCCAACAAACCCCCAAAACATAAGTCAAGAAATCCTCCATTGGGTGATTTTTGATGATTGATTGCTTTCTGGTTTGTGCCATCTTTTGTCCTGTTTTATCGTTTCGTGAAGTTGGATTCTAGTGCCTGATGGCCTCATCCTTAGTGTATTTGGTGTTATTTAACTAGATTGCTTCCAACTATTCCAATGTGATATGTGATTCTTGTTCAATTTAAAGTCAGATTTCTTATCGTATGCATATCTGATATTGTGAAGTCTTACAAACCCCAAAAATTGTCTCTAAAAGTGGGATGGTTTGTATAATTCAGTTGATTATCAATTTGGGGCTTGTAAAGCTAATGGTTGAAAAAATATAAATTTATGCAGTTACTACTCCACGTATGGACATGTTGAGAAGCTAGCACAAGAGATAAAGAAAGGAGCCGCATCAGTTGAAGGGGTAGAAGCCAAACTATGGCAGGTCTGTTTGTCATTTCTTTTTAATGATGTTATTTATGTGAGTGTGACTTAGAGAAGTCTTGATCCCTGAAAATTAATGAAAGTATGCTATTTTGACTTTGCAAACCTAATATCTCCTAAAGTGTTTACATTGATCATTGACAGTGTGAAATCTCTAGAGTCCTAGTCCTCTCCTTAAAATCCTGCTGAGAAATTATTGACTTGACATTTGATACAGTGATTCCTATTGTGGCTACTACTTGTTTGAAATTACAATGAGTCAATGCAATTAGACAAAGAAAACAATTCAACAATAGTCCATATAGTTAGTTCATTACTTCATTGTCCGTTATTAATTCACTTGCGACTGTTAACTTTTCCATGATTTCTTGATTCCTATGATTGGCTGTATTCTGAACAATGCCCTTTAGAGGGCTTTGGAGGTGAAAGTAAAATAACTAACGAACATGTATTGCTTATGTATTTTAACTTTTTGTTGATTTGTGAATGGCACAGGTACCAGAAACTCTTTCAGAAGAGGTTCTTGGAAAGATGGGTGCACCAGCGAAAGGCGATGCACCAATTATCACACCCAATGACCTTGCTGAGGCTGATGGCTTTTTGTTCGGGTTCCCAACAAGATTTGGGATGATGGCAGCTCAATTCAAGGCATTTCTTGATGCCACTGGAGGTCTCTGGAGAACTCAGCAGCTTGCCGGCAAGCCAGCAGGCCTTTTCTATAGCACTGGCTCTCAAGGAGGTGGCCAAGAGACTACCGCGTTAGTCCCTTTTCCTCAAAGACTATCACACTTTTGAGCTTGAGTTGTGAAATGTGAAAATTTTAAGTAAAACTTTTGCCTTTAAATTACACATACTGTTAGTATGTAAAAATATGTTACACTATCAGTATATTTTAACCTGTTGCATCTGGAGTTTTGTGTGACAAGAAAGTGCCACTGGCACTCAAAGGTAAGTTTTATAGAGCTGCGGTTAGACCGGCCATGTTGTATGGANACGTCACTCACCGTATAGGGGCGGGCTGGATGAAATGGAGGCTTGCATCTGGAGTCTTGTGTGATAAGAAAGTGCCACTGATACTCAAAGGTAAGTTTTATAGAGCTGTGGTTAGACCGGCCATATTGTATGGGGCAGAGTGTTGACCGGTTAAAAACTCCCATATCCAGAGGATGAAGGTAGCAGAGATGAGGATGCCATGGTGGATGTGCGGGCACACTAGGATAGACAAGATTAGGAATGAAGATATTCGGAAGAAGGTGGGTGTGGTCCCTGCGGATGACAAGATGCGGGAAGCGAGGCTCAGATGGTTCGGGCACGTGCAGAGGAGAAGCCTTGATGCGCCGGTGAGGAGGTGTGAGCGGTTGACCGTGGTGGGTACGAGAAGAGATAGATGGAGGCCTAAGAAGTATTGGGGAGAGGTGATCAGGCAGGACATGGTACGACTGCAGATTTCCGAGGACATGACCCTTGATAGGAAGGTCTGGAGGTCAAGCATTAGGATTGTAGGTTAGGGGGGTAGTAGAACTTTCCTTACTTCATACTGAGGGTGAGGCGGGGTTGGATTAGGGTTGATCTTAGATGACTTGCAGTTTATGTTGAATCCACACTATTCTTGTTGTTTATCTTAGCCACGGGCCTTAGATACTGGTTACTGTTATTGCATATCATTCATCTTTTGGTTGTTATGCTTCTGTTACTATTACGGTTTCTACTGGAGTTACTAATGAATTATCTTTTCTTGTTTTTCATTTCTGTCTTTCTGAGCCGAGGGTCTATCGGAAACAGCCTCTTTGCCCTATCGGGGTAGGGGTAAGGTCTGCGTACACATTACCCTCCCTAGACCCCACTTGGTGGGATTTTACTGGGTAGTTGTTATTGTTGTTGTTGTAGCAAGCAACCTACCTAAGTTTCCAGGTTAACTATAATTACTTTTAGGTGTTTGCAGTGTTGGTATATAGAAGTTAAGCTCAAAATTTTTATTTAGACTTGATAAATCTGCAGGTTGACAGCAATTACACAGCTTGTTCACCATGGAATGATCTTTGTTCCAATTGGTTACACATTTGGAGGTGGCATGTTCGAGATGGAGAATATTAAAGGTGGAAGTCCTTATGGTTCTGGAACTTATGCTGGAGATGGCTCTAGACAGCCAACAGAGCTTGAAATGGAGCAAGCTTTCCACCAGGGAAAATACATTGCCACCATCACAAAGAAGCTCAAAGGCTCTGCCTGATTGTTTCACTACAATTTTAGTATTGCATTTCTACTGTTCATTTTTTCCCCCTATGTCTAGTACACTCTTGTTTTGGTTTTAAGTTGCATTCCTACTGAACTACACAATAAGTGATTATTTCCTATTGTATCAGCATATTTATAGGGTCATTGGTTGGTGTCTGTCATAGTTTACAGAGGTTGGTTTACATGTTTTATGAATCAATACTTAATATTTTTCCCCCTTTCATAGCCAATGACTGCAGCAACAACAACAACAACCCAGTATAATCCCACTTAGTGGGGTCTGGGGAAGGTAGTGTGTACGCAGACCTTACCCCTACCCTAGGGTAGAGAGTCTGTTTCCAAATAGACCCTCGGCATCCTCCCTTCAAGAACTTCCTATCTTCCTCTTGGGGAGACTCGAACTCGCAACCTCTTGGTTGGAAGAGTCTGCAGCAACAAATCCTTTCCTACCTCCACCTCACCACCACCCCACCCCCCAAAAAAAAGGACAGAAATTTTGTAAAATTTTGTAACAATTTCTAGGAGGTAATGCTACTCTATATATTGGATGTCCAAAAGCCATTTGAACTAAGAATATTTTGGTGGTCCAATCCCTATAAGTTGGCCCAAACTACAGAGTTGAGTTATGAAACATATATTGCTACCTTGTTTGCTTAAGAAGCAACAGTTAGTCTTATATGTTATATAGACAACAACATAATCATTTTCCAAACATAAGCAGAGTAATAAATCAGCTTAAAATGGAGAGAATATATCCAAGATAGAAGTGGTCCTTCTGATCTTTGCTAAAAGCAATAAAATCTCAACTAGATGCTTGCAAGTTCTATCTCATTCACTTTTTTATCTTCTTTCTTGTTCATTTCCCTTTGTCTCTGTTGGGAAACATTGTTTTCAGCATGACTTGTACAAGCACATATGTGAAGGATTTCTAGAAAGCAATTGCCTCAATAATTGGAGTGGACAACTTACAGGCTTTTAATGTTAATGCATTCTGCTTATAAGTTGCTCTATCTATTATATGTCTAATATGAATAAAAAAAATATGTGTCACCTCTTCTAAGAGATTAAGATAGACGGTTCACACACTTTAACATGGTATCATATCAAATTGAAGTTACAAATTTAAGTCTCACTGACACCTGTCAACAACGAGACAGGTTCATACACTTGAGAGAAAAATTAATGAGCTTTATTTTAAACTAGCTTATTTGTTTGGTAACACTCCGTTATTATCAACTGGAATATGTCATCTAACTGCTAAGTTGGTGGAGTATGAGAGGAAGTAAATAATAAGCATGCTGGTATTTCATTTGGGCTTAATTGCTGGCCTGATAAAAAGTGACATAGTTTCTGCGTTAAAATAGCACGGTCTATCCAGTTTTCGGATTGGTCATTCAAAAATAGTTAGCGTTTGCCAACTCATTGAAAAATAGCCACTATTTTGCTGCAACAGAGACCGGTCCAACATAATATACTACAGTTCAGTGCACCTGTGTATGAACTTCCAGTATATAATGTTGGACCGGTATATTATACTGGAACTCCAGTATATTATGCTGGAGTATTTTTCCGGATTTTGAATAATGTTTTCGTTTAGATTTATCTTTACATGAAAAGTGGCTAAATTTCGATTACTTTTGAAACTGTGACTATTTTTGAATGACCACTTGTAAATTTGGCTATTTTTAAATTTCTCCCGGTTTCTGCCTCCATAGAAGTGAAAGGGTGCAAGGAGGAGTAAAACTATTGGCCTTATTCATTGCATATAAGAGTGAGATCATAGCAAATGGCTGAACAAGAGTCGATTAGAAGGGGAAAAAGAGTAGTACTAATCTAAAAGAGAAGTGAACTTGCCAGTTTACACGAAATACTTAACTGCAGAGTGAAGCTAGTTAAGTTTAGCTTGTTTCTTGATTCTTTTTAGTCCAGTGAATGTAAGCACGTGATTTTTGACCCTTCCCGAGAATTTTCACATTTTAGTGTGAATATGTGAAATTGGGTCTAGTATAGCTATTTTAACTATTTTTACTTTATTTCGTTGTAAAAAGAAAAATTATAAAAAAAAAAGTATATATATAAATTTTAGTTTATGTATCCCTCATAAACTTGAAAAAAATCAAAAATTGCACTTTATTTTGGTACTTTATATAAATTCGAAAATTAACAAAAAATATATATATAATTCTATTAATGTTTTGAAGTCATTTTAATACAAAAAATATTATTTCATATTTTTGTCTTTATTAAAAAACGAAAATTACAAAAAAAATAGTTTTATTAATATTTTATAGTTATTTTAACTTTGAAAAATACAAAAAATATTACTTCATATTTTATCTTAATATTTACGAAAATTACAAAAATAGTTTTATTAATATTTTATAGTTATTTTAACTTTGAAAAATACAAAAAATATTACTTCATATTTTATCTTAATATTTACGAAAATTACAAAAATAGTTTTATTAATATTTTGTAGCTATTTTTAAAACCTTAAAAATATTTAAAAAAAGATATAATTTTGTTAAATACTAGTCTTATTTTTGGTAGTTATTTTGCTTACATAGGACTAGTTAAGCAACGTGTTCCTATTTCTCGGGTCCGGGCAAAAGAATAATATTCGGGTTCAAACTACCCGGTTTTAGGCCTAACTTTCGGACTTAGCCCATAATAAACCGTGTCCAGGACACGTGGGGAACCCCACCACGCGTGGGGAACATATGCCTTGAACCCCACCACGCGTGGGCTCATTTTTCTGGGCAAACCATGTCAAATACACAGACTAACACATTTGACAAAGGGGGATTTTGGACTTTTGGGGTGAGAAAAAAAAAAAGAAAAAAAAAACGAAGAAAGGAAAGAGTACTGTTTCATCATCTTCTTCAGGAGAAGAAGGAAAAACCCAACAGACCACCCTCCTCAACCCATCACCTTCCCCCACCGATCTCCACGTCCAAACACCAACCAAACGACACCATAACCACCAGCTGACCCCTCCCCGTCACCTTCCCGACGCTAGACCACCAAACAGGCCCGTCGTCAACCTCCGAACAGCCCCCCCACCATCAACACTCCATGAACGACCACCCAACTCCTCCATCGCCGACCACTGTCAAAACGCCATAACCATCGACAGACCATCGTCCTCACCTTCCCAGTCGAAACCACCGTCGTCATCACCCAAATCACCACTGTTTCGCCCTCCCCAGCCCACGAGCTCTTGCTCGTCGTCATTGTCAAGCCGACGACCAAACAACCCAGCTCAACACCACCGTCAACCTCCCAGCTACCCATCAACTAGCCCACAGCTGCTCCGTCCACCAGCTCACGACCAGTCCTCACCCTCCTAGGTTCATCGTCGACCCCATTG